GCAGCAATTTGTTTACCTATTAAAGCTAACAAGGTAGAGATATTTTGCAAACCTGATTTTGGTTCACTTGAACAGGCTACTGAATATGTAACAGTGGTTTGAAAATGCTGATGCTGCAGCATTGGCTGAAAATAAGGGAGCTGTCAACTTGATCTGCCTCAGTAGCTCTATTTGCAGGAAATGCTTACCCATAGTTAAAATAATGATGGTTTACTCAACCTAAATTTGGGGATTATTCAACACCTTGAGCTATAAATCAGTGTGGCACAGCATGCAATCTAATGTTGTCTAGATTGTGATTAAGAATTGAGGCTACAAGATCCTGGCTACAAAAATCTTGAAGACCATTAATTGGGACCAGGAAGATACAGGAATATTTAACTCTTTTCTGTCATCCAATGTTGTCTAGATTGTTTCAGCCCAAATCAGGTGATCTTGTTCAGTGTGTCAGGCCAGAAATGACACAATTGGTTTAGTCAAAGGAGATTCAGTTAATCATGAGCCATCAATAGGCAACTTTGGCCTCCATAATTTATATAACTAAATGGTTCCAAAAAGGGATTGATGAGAGTCTTTCTATGATGGTTATGATACCTATAATTGATGGGAATTGTAGTTCTGTGTTTGAAGAGCAATAAATTGAAGCCAAAAATATACACCTGCTGGACTCTCTTCCAAACACTGCATCCCTCCACAAAACTCTATTCCATATATTAACATAGTTACTTGGATGTTAACAAAATTTTCTGCCTGGTTTGTGAAGCCAAATTTAGCTGGTCAGCTATTATATCATGCTAAGTCATAAGTTGTTTTAGCAAACCATAATCACTTCATTCATATACAACTCTAAGGCAAAATTATAATCAATAACTGCTCGTATTCGCAAATAATGCATGCTAAGACAGAATCAAATAAACCATGTTAGAGTTTACATAAACTCAGAAGCTAAAAATTCCAGTCTTGCTGAGGGTCCAAATTTATAGCCAAGGATCATCCACTGCCCTAGCCATAACGTAGTTTGCACTGCACGTGATATATGAACAAGGCTTCTGTGGATTATTCAGCCAAACATTCTTAAAACAAACGGCAGCTTCGTGCAATGTCTGAACTCAAGTACCGTATGACTTTAGCACAGAGGATACTTTTGTGTCTACGTGCTGGCATAAATAGGTTGCCATTACACTACACTTGATTAACTAAAACCTGGTATACTGGAGGATAGAGTGCCTATATACCTGATGCAACTTCTTGGCACATTTTTTTTCATCCTTCTCTAGTGTGCCTTTAAAAATTCTGTTACCTGATGCGGAGAACTCTAGCTAATTGCAATTCATGTTATGCTGGTACTTTGCTTTTTTTCCTATGACTTTTTATAATTATAAAATGCCCAGTGGTGTCACATAAGTCTCTTTTTCTATTCCCCTTCCATTCTTTCCAGTGCATAAAACTTGTTCATGGTCTTGTCCTTAATATAGACTCATTAAGATACTGTTTTCCTTAGGTGCTTTTTTAATTCAGTTACATTTCCCCCCTCCCCACCCTCAGTCATCATTGGGGCCAGATAAAAGAACTGTTTGAGTAAGTAGGGCTGATCAAATTGATCCCTCAGATCAAGTGTGTCAAACTGGTGGGCCAAGGGCTGGAGGTGTCACACGCAGGCCACACCTACCCCAGCTCCATGAAGGGAAAAAATGTTGTAATACATCACGTACGGCAACGTGACACTACGAGTTTGGCACCTGTGCCTCAGATCAACTTGCCCCCTAAGATTTCTGTAAAGGCAGTCGTTGTTGATTACTGTATCTCCTGAGAGAGACTTATTAACATCAAGAAAGACAAGTCATAGTCAGAAATATAGGAGCTAGAAGAGCCTAAGAAATGCAGGTGATGGATAGAAATATTTCCTCTATCAAACAAGCTAAAGGATCAAGCAAACTCTTTACGTGTGTAGTAGGAAAATATATAGGGCTGGATCTGAAAATGACCCACAAGGCTGAATTTGTTCTCTGTAGGATACTCTTAGAAATCTGGAGGAAACGGTTATTTGTTGTACTATATATGTAATCAGCCTTCATTTTTCATTCGACTGGCAACAGTAAGATAAAGACTCCTTGTTGAGTTTGATTCCTGGCGACACATTCATTTGTTTTTCTTGGCAACAGAACAGAAGTGGTTTGGTATTGACTTTCTTTGAGAGGTTCAAGGCTGGCTAGGTGTTGCAGCCTGTTGTGTATATATACGTAAATTAACTTTGTATCATCATAAAACATGACCTGTCTCCATTTACTTCTTTCTAAGGAGAGTGAGTTGCTTGGATACACACTGAACCCTCCTGAAATTATCCAGAGTGTAGGAAGTACAGGTGTTTACTTGTTCCAGATTTGCCTTTCAGAGATTGCCTTTATAGCCCATAGTGAATGCTGTCTCAGATTCCCTTCACCCAATGTATAGTTTGAATCAAGTGAAGGATGCAGCCCTTAAAATGTAGGCAAAGTGCCTCGTTCCTTTCTCAAAACGATGGGAAACTAAAGGTCAAAAGTGCTCCATTTTGGGAAGGTGAAATACTGGCTCACAAAGAGCTGCCCCCCTTTTGTTTCCCTCCCTTTCCCTTCAAGAAAGCATGGGGAGGTCCTACTTCAGGGCACTGCAATTCTCTTGAAATCAGTACTTCATGGCTGAGAAGTGAGTAGAAATGGTGGAGAAGGGCTGGTCTGATATCCCACAGACTGGGTGGTATAGTCTAGTTCTCCAGGTTTGACCAGTGGACTGGAGGTTCTCTATTCTTGCTACTAAGATCTGCTACTAAACAGATCTAGTTACTACTGAATACACACACACACACAAAAACTAAATTCAGTGAGAATTACTTAAAGTAGGTATTTTAAGGATTAAATTGTGAACCAGGAAAAATGCAAGAGGATATCCTGTAAATATTCAGGTACAGAACACAGGTATGGCCACCAGATAGAGGTGATAGCATTTTTAACCTAACAGTATCTGAAGGATATTCACCAAGCCTGCAGTTGTATGAAACATCACATATTGTATAATTGTGATCTTACCATTGACTTCCCAAGCTAGTCTGCATATTTTAAATGTAAGCAATGCTACCTACATAGCTGGTGGTGGGGGAAATACATCCATTCAATATTTTAAAGCTGTCGTTCGATTTTGAAAAATTAATTGTTCTAGAGGCACAGTAGGTTGTACAATATCAAGCAGGAAAGAAGAGAAACAAGACAAACTTAGTAGGGTTCCTCAACATGCTGCCATCCAGATGTGTCAGATTTCAACTCATGTAAACATCAGCCATTGGGGTCTTGCTTGTGAGCTGATAGTGATAGGATATTTGAACAGATTCAAGAAATTCCACCTTAGAAATTCAACTATCATTCCAACTTTACTGAAATGTCTTTGCTGACTCCTTTGTTCCTATTCTTTTTTATTTGAAGAATTTGATGAATTTGTTTCTCCTGATTTGCCACTCAATCTCTATTTTCAACTAATTCAGCTTAATTAATCAAAATCAATGCTAAAGTAGCTCCTAATTATTTCCGCCATCTTTTGGAGCAAAAAATTAAAGCTATGACACCTGTACTGGAGCACAACTTCTTTTAGTCTTGCTACAATTATATGGAAAACTAATAAATGATCTTGAATTCTCTGCAGGACTTTCTCCACTTCTGCATCCTCACTAAGCTTAAGGCTAGTTTTCACTATACCAAGTGAGAACAATAAACCAGTGGAAAGACTTGCCCTCAGAGGTTGTTGGAGCTCATCACTGGAGACTTTTAAGAAGAGACTGGACAACCATCTGTCTGAAATGTATAGGGTCTCCTCTTGAGCAAGGGGTTGGACTAGAAGACCTCCAAGGTCCCTTCTAACTCTGTTATTCTGTTATGCAGATCCATGTGAGTTGCAAATGTTGAAGTTTCTTCCAATGAATTCTGGAATGTCTTGGAGGTAAATTAATATCATGTTCTCTATCACGAGAGTGCTTGGATTCAATCTCAAATAAAAGCAATGAATTAATGTATTGCTTTGAGCTTCCTTAGCAAGTCTTTCACTTTTGGCCTGCAACAGGGTTTCTAGTCCTCCAGGTGCTGTAAGGAATTTAGAGCCTGGGCTATGCATTAAGGGACAGTATACTCTTGTGTCTAAATGAAATGCTGTAAAAATTACTATGTTCTCAAGTCAAGATCAAAATCTAACCAACAGCTCTCTAATTTCAAGTTGCCTGCCCTCCAAGGCCTGACCAGGGTTAAATTGACTTCGTTTTTACAATCAGCCAAACTTGGCTAGGTGCTATTACTGGGTGAGGCTTAAGACTTACACTTCGTAAATCTTGTCTCTCTGTCTACAAAGGAGTTGGGATCTTGTTGATTAACACAACCTGAGTTCAATGCTACAATATGGATGGATGGCCCTCTTTGTTGATAGAGTCAGCCATATATATTGTAGTATTCAGCTCATGTTGTGTGAACTATTATGACTCCAAATCCTTTTCTTGTTTGTTACTTTACAGAATCTGTGTGATGTAAATAAGCAAATATTGCCAGGGCATGGAAGAGGGGGAAAAAAAAATCCCTTGCTTTATCGATCTGATCATAACACACACAAGTCAATTAAATATAATCCTATGTTCTATTCCAGGTGTCCAGTCCAGCCTTAAGACTTGTGGTCTTCAACTTTCAGAATGACTGACTGGGAATCCTAGGAGTTGAAACCTACAAGTCTTAAAAGTTGCCAAAGTTGGACACCCCTGCTACTCCTTCAGCCCAAGGGGATGCAACCCCCCCACCACATAATTTCCTCTTGCTTTCCTTTACTAACATATTTCAAGTCCCTGACTAGCCACCTCGGGGACAGAGTTAAAGAACATTGCTCAGATGCCTGTGCCTTGGCAAGGGGCCAGGACAAGCCCTGGTCTGTTAGATTCCTGCAGAAAGAGGCGGGCTCTCTTTCTCTCCTCCCCTTGTTCACTTACTCTTCCACCTTTTAAGCAACTGTTTTCGAGAGACAGCCTCTTGGGTGACAAAAGTCAGAGACCATCCCAGCAAAACTTCCAACTCTGAGTGCTGTCTGATGCTTTTCTCACTCCTCATTGGCCAAGAAGAGAAAACCACAAAAAATAAATGTGCTTCTAAAGTTTACAGTAAACTCTCCCCAGCCTCTCCCTCCCCTCTTTCATTCTTTCAGAGAAGAAGTCAAAGGAAGTCTGATGCTAAGATGCCTGCAGGTTGTTGGAGCAATTTTGTAATCTGTTACCTTTAAAAGAACCAGGAAATATTTCAAGTGGGAGAAAGTCTGTGCCATACGATAGTGATACACATTTTATATTTTTTTATTGAGAAAAGAAGAGATCTGAAAACGCTCACAAGCAAAGAAGGCTTGAAGAGATCACTTTTGAAGTTTATCTTTTTGGATTAAGCTGGACACTCGCCCTTCTCTTCTTCGCCATGATCCAATGCTATGGGACCCGTCTCGGATCATTCCTTGCAATCACAATGTTGTTTCTACTCAGAGAGGTAAGAAAATATGTCACTTTCAGAATGATCAGTTTCAAATATGGAAATTCTACTGAACTTATTTTTCAGTATTTGCACTTGGTAGGATGTAGTCACAAGTAGTGCTTCTTTAATGGAACGGTATGAAATTTGCAGATGGTTACTTTTTTATGATTGGGCAAGGCTTGCCTAATAATCCCCCGATGTTTTTGCAAATTGGCTGTGGCTTTTCTTGTCAATTGCAATCAGAGTCAATATGATTCAGTTTTTCCATAACAGTTCATGTATTTGAGCTGGTCTGCTTCTTAAATGTTATTTATCTGCTCATTTCCCTTTTGTTTGTTTCAACAGTACCCATGCAAATCTTTTATATAACTGCTAAAGATAAGTAATTAGAATGCAAATATTTGATATTTCAGGTTCACAACTACAGTCTATGCAGTGATTCCCTTCCAGAGTCCCTTATAATCCAGCCATTTGTTCAGACTTTCCAAAATGCATAAATTCACAATCTTCTTTTTAATCCAGTAACTGTCTTTTTTCCCAGAACTATGCTTTTACTTAAAGACTTGATCCACCTCTATAAGTGTTGACTTATTCAGATTTAACATTCTGATTTAATTTTTAAATGTCTAAAAAGCTTTTCTTTTTCACCCTTAGAATGGATAATTCAGTTTATATGAAAGCCTGGATCGCAGTCAGATCTATGCCTAAAAGAAAAGATTTTGGGGTGGATGGTGCAACATCTTCCTCATGTTTAGAAAAGTGCTTATTGTAAAAGTTCCCTTCTTCCTTGAAACATGGTATTAATTAGACCTCAGTGGATTGAAAGTAAGGCAATCTGTTGAAGGTGGTTTGATGTAGTTCTCTGAATTTCTGTCCTGACAAGTGAACATAAGTATGGTAAACAGTGGCTGCCATGCCAGGCCAATTTGATATGTGGCATCACCTTCATAGCAAGAACCAAGATGTCTTTACACAGCAATACTTTATTGTTGGCATTGCTACATTGGCAACAGCTACTACCACCAAGTAGCAATGGCCTTGTTTTATTTCAGGCTTTGCTGTTCTCTTGTGATATTGTGCCAGTCAATTCTTTCTTTGTTCCTATGTGTTGTGATACACAGAGCACAGATCAAGTTATGCAGTAAAGTGGCTTAATACACACCTCATGGGATGAAAGCTATACCTTGAAGAGCTCAACTCAATTTGATACCATTAGCGCTGGGCTGATTTTTTGAGACTGATGCTCATATTGCTACATTTTTGCAATACATGCCAAACAACAGATGATTATTTAGCCTATTTGAATAAGTCATTTAAGACTTCAAAGAAAAGCCTGAAAAATGTTTTTTTTTAATGCATTTTGAGAAAAGATAACAAAAATCCTTTTGGGAGGGGCAGGTTGTCATCTATGATTGGGACTGCTGTTGCTAAGCCACATTTCCTATTCAGAAAAGAATTCATATTGCTTGCATTCACTGCTATTGTGTAGACGTGATGTTTAAAACTGGGACTGAGCTGTAGGCAAAATTTAGATTCTTCCATCCTGCATATATTTCTTCATCTAGCTTCAAAGAACTAATGTTTCCTTTTTTATTTTAGTAGGAGCTAAATACTAGGATCCAGATGCAGAAAGAAATTATTGATAATATTAGCATAGTTATCTTTTTATGTTCCAATTACTAGAGCATTCTTTTTAAAACAAATTTTTATCCCAAGACCATAACTCTTTCAAATCAGCAGGATACTTATTTATTTATAGAGCAATCCATGTATATAGATTTCTGAGTAAGACCAATCAGTACAAAACTAAATGAACAATAATGGAAAGCAAACATGGTTAACCCCACAGAACCATTTTGTGATATAAGATCCAAAAAGACTGAATCGTCAGATTTTATTTGAGGCTCAACCATCAGTAGGGATGTTCAAATGATATAAAATCCCATTTGAATTATTGGTTCAATTAACCCAGTCCAATTCAATTTGCCAATTTAAATTGCTTTGGAAAAACAATTAGAGTCAAATCCTGAATTCACTTTGTCAGAATGAATTGATTTGCGGCAAATTTTCAGGCACTTAGTTTATGTGCAGAAACAATCAAAATATTTGAAAGTGATTCAGATGCATCTGCTTTCATTTGACTTCTGACTCAATTTAGAAAGTTGATTTGAATTGTCTTGAGATTAAATTTCCAAATTAAAATATTTCTACAGACCTAAACATCAATGCCTGACAATGAAAAATAGAAGTCTGCAATAAAAAAATTCTTGTAGTTAGGTTAGGGTTAACAATATAACATATTGTTTTCAACAGGTAGGATAATGAAGTTACCCCCTTCCTCCATTCCATGCTGCTTTTCATTAGTGTATTCTCTTTTCATTTTCTCTGTGAGATTGGGATTAGGATACCCTACCTCAACCACTCTTCGCCTCCAGATATGTGGACTAAAGCTTCCAGAATATTTAGCAATTCGCATGCAGGCTAGTAATTCTGAGATTATAAACTCCCATCTTCAAAGGATGCCCTAGCCAAGAAGATTGGATTAAAAACATTTTGGAAGACTCCAGAAGTCCTTACAAATTTATAACATATCTATGCACTGTTTCAGACTAATATTTATAGTATTGTGTGTGCTTGGAAAATAATTTGGAAGAAGCGCTTGGAACACATCGCATCTTTCTGTTCTTTGTGGAAAAAAAAAACCTGATTTATTAAACCTAAGGCAATTCTTAAAGGGGTGCCAGCACCAGCAGCCTTTTTTCAGGCTCAAGTGAACACCTAGAAAAAGTTGGGTTACTTTAATGTGTAACATAACAGCTCAATAATGTAGTCATCTCAATCTGCCTTATTATAGCTTCTTGGTTACCTTTAAGGAAAATACCCCATCAATGTTCTAGATAAGAATTAATTGACTTTTCAAGAACAGTTGGAACAGCCAACTCAAGCTGTTTGAACAGTTTTGAACTACCTGAAATTCCAGTGATAAAAATGAATAAACGAGTATTCCTAGCCTGGTTACTGCTCTTTCAGAGAGATAACATTACTGTTAGCAGTTGTATAATTTATTTATATTCTACTTTATTCTACGCACTCAAGATGTCTTATGTGGGGATCTCTCTTTATTTTATGTCCACAAAAACAACCTGGATATACAACTTGAATCCAAAGTCATTGACTATGTTTTCATGATTAAGTGTGGACATGAATCTGGGTCTCTCTGATCCTAGACCAATGTCTTAACCTCTGCATCATAGCAGCTCTTTAGTTCCTGGAAATCTGGTGATTGTGGTATCTCATTGGGATTTAGTCTTAATTTATTGACTCCCATCTAGACCTGTGATCAATACCTGCAGAAGCTCATCTACTTCTTACATGCTTTAGGTCAAACTCCAGTCTGAATGAGATGCTATGGATGAAGTTCAGAGAGCAGAGGCTCGTCCAGTAGAAGTATTTGCTCTATCTTTTATATTTCAGAGTGAGAGAAAAAACCCAGGAAAACAATAATCTATATTTAACTGGGAATTAAATGGTGGGAATTTGTTATCTAACAGCACTAGTCCAGCTATACCATTGTAAGTGGGATAAGACTAAGTTTAATTGTATCTTAGCAATGCTGTTTATTTTGACACGTTGGAATGTACTGAATTCTAGCTGTTTTCCCTTTGCACATCCACTAAGAATTCTAGTTAAATGGCCATTAAAGGAATCAGGAGCATGCACAGTGTGAGTGGGTCAAAACTACAAGATTGCAAGAATGGTGTTGCAAGTGAAGATCCACTCCCCCCCCATTCTTTTTGTACATGTACCCTTTAAGGAGCCCTGAAAACAGAAAAATAATGGCACAAATAGGTGATGACATGGTTAGCTTGAATACGACACCGAGCATATTACATGAATAAAAAACATCTTGGGCGATTCACCATAATACAGTGCAATTATGCATGGGTCTGTATGTTGGGTGAACACAGCCTGAGAAAGGCGCATGGGAGAAGAATAGAACAGCTACAAGCAAGCAGAACTGTTCAATCTGCATTGCTTGGATTATTAAGGGAGGCTTATATACATTTGCAAAAGTTTGCACACTGGGTCTTCCCCCTTTCAGTGGAGCAGAAGGCTCCCAGCAGTTACGTGTGGCCCCATTTAAGGGTTTATGCAAGGATCATAGTTACCCCATAACCTTGAGTTGGTAAAGCTTAATGAATGTAGGCTGTTGAATGGGCGGGGGGGGGGGGGGGGGTCTCTGTATGAAGTTCAAAGTTGGAGGATCTTGAAAAGAGAAGAGGGAAGGCTGTATGATTATTCTATCTAATTGTTTTACTCAATTGCATCTATTAATCTAAGGAAAATTGAAAAGTTTACTTTTCTTGATATTTTTGTTTGCCATTCCGATGGTCCTTGTTTGTCTAATACAGAAACAATCTTAAGTCAAACATGGCGTATTGTTCCAGAATGCCATCTGGAATTTCTCCTGTAACTTTTGGTTTGTGGCTGAGCTGGGAGATGAGATCACCACACTTTTCTTCCCCACTCACCAGCCCCATCCTCAGAGAACAAGAGGCAAATTCAGCAACCTGGTGGCTGCGTTAACATAGCCATAGTTGACCATAGCTTCCTGGGACTGAGTCATAAACCAACCACACAGATTAGAGTTGAATAACATCTTGGGCTACTTGAGGATGGTGTCTTCTGGTTCGGTGTGCTGTATAAATAGAGCCTCTTAAAGATAGCTTCAATAATTTTAATTTTTTTCCCTTGATTGAAAACAAATAAATTTATTTATCAGGAGACCGCCTTAAAGGGTCCCTGCACACACCTGCATAAAGGAAAAGCAACTGAGGGCATGATGTGGGGAATACTTTGGGCAAGTTGACCAGCAGAGAAAAGAGCTAAAAGTCCACGCTTCTAAGCAGGGTATTTGCTCTGAACTGAAACTGCCACTGTTACATTTTGAAAAAATAAATAAATCAAAAGCCGTTGGTGAAGGGGGAAAAAAAACTACAAATGACTGATGAACA